GGGGGAGTTTATGGGGGGGGTCCCAGACACCACGCCCTCCCTGTGAAAAGCTGAACTGGGGGAAGAATGAGAAAAAAGAGCAATTTTTATATCACAACCCGTCCCATTGCAACAAAAGAGCATTTTTATATCACAGCAAGCATTTTATTTATTAAAAAAATATCGATACCCATAACGAATTTGAGGTTTTAATGAGGGGGGGGTGTTTTCGAGCCGAGCTGGTCTCTGCCGGGAGCAGATTGGCAATTAAATATTAATTGTTTGTGTTTAATTAGGTATGAAGTAGCTCCGAGATCTGACAGTGAAGAAAGTGGGTCAGAGGTGAGGGGGTGGAGGAGCCGGGAGGAAGGTCTCTGTGGAGGTGCAGGGTCCCTGATGTCTCCTCTTCCTCCTCTTGCAGAAGGCGGAGAACGCGGAGGGGCAGACGCCGGCCATCGGACCCGATGGGGAGGTAGGTCCTAAGATCTTCCTCCTCCTCCTCCTCGTGCCACGTAGGGGTTGGAGACATCAGCAGGTGTTGGGGTCTCCCCTCATCATCCTCCTCCCTGACACAGCTGAAAATAGCTGAGTTTTGCTGGCGTTAAAGCAGTCGTTTTTGGGGTTCTTCATGGTCCTTTTGTGGTGGTTCTGGGGTGGGTTTGCTGGATGTTGGAAATGTGAGTTTTGAGGCAAAAACCCTCCTGATTTGGACCAAGAATGACCTGATGGTCTGGTCTTTCCTTCCCCTCCTCTCCCTCCTCTCCCTCCTCTCCCTCCTCTCCCTCCTCTCCCTCCTCTCCCTCCTCTCCCTCCTCTCCCTCCTCTCCCTCCTCTCCCTCCTCTCCCTCCTCTCCCTCCTCTCCCTCCTCTCCCTCCTCTCCCTCCTCTCCCTCCTCTCCCTCCTCTCCCTCCTCTCCCTCCTCTCCCTCCTCTCCCTCCTCTCCCTCCTCTCCCTCCTCTCCCTCCTCTCCCTCCTCTCCCTCCTCTCCCTCCTCTCCCTCCTCTCCCTCCTCTCCCTCCTCTCCCTCCTCTC